ATTCATTCATTCATTCATTCATTCATTCATTCATTCGTTCATTAATTCGTTCGTTCGTCTTAAGTTTTAAAAATTTACTTGATCGAATTTTTTATAAACATTTTATATACATTACACGATAATTAAAATTTTTCACATAAAAACTATTATTATTATTAGTTACGAAGAATATTGTGCCTAAAACAAAAAAAAAATTAATAATCCGTTAAATTTTTTAAACGACTTTTCTTTTTTACCGCCATCAAACCCTACCCTCCCCTCCCCCCCATGAAAATAAAACGCGAAATTTCGCGGGAAAAATTTTTAGATAAATTATTTATTATTTTTATTATTTACGATAGATTTTTATTTTTTTTTTCAGGATTCAAACTTTCGCTTTTTCCATTATTATTATTATTATTATTATTATCATTATCATTATTATTATTATTAATTAAAAAATTGAGTAATAATGACGATGATGATTAAGATTAATTTTCCAATTTCTTCAATTTTATTTAAACAAAAAAAGAAAAAAATTTGAAATACGCCGAAAAAAAAAAAATTACTTATTAATTTTTTTAAATGTTTACGTAATGATAATAATAATAATAATAATGATAATTATAATAACGAATACGTAATTAATTCATTTTTATTTTTTATTTTAACGTCAATAAATAAATAAATAAATAGAAAATTTCCTTTGATGTTTTCCAATAAAAACATCAAATTTTTATAAGTTTTCAATTCTTTTCTTTTTTCTTTTTTTTTTTTTAATCCGTTATTATTGTTTAATTAGGAATAATTTTTATTTATTTATTTACATAAATTATTAATTATTAATTAGGTAATTATTATTATTATTATTAATTGATTTATTGAGCGAAAATTAATAAACGAACAATTGTGATAATTCCTACTAAGAAAATTATTTTTTTTATTATTACCACTACCACCACCATCACCATCATCATCATCATCATCATCATCATTATTATTATTATTTTTTGTTGTTGAATTTCATTAATGATTAATTAATTAATTTCGTGTGCGTATGCTTGTGTGGGAGTGTGTGTGCTTGTGTGTGCGTGCGTGTGCGTTTCTCGAAAGTAATAAAATATTTATTCGTTAGTGAAATTAATTTTTATTAATTATTTTATAAAATTATTATTTTGAAAATAAATTTATTTCACTTGATTTTCAATCGATCACAAATCGATCGAAAGGTTTAGATTTCGATAAAATTATTTATTATAATAAATATAATAATAATAATGGTAATAATGATAATAATATTGATTTTTACATACGATGAAAAATATAATTTATTATTGAAATAATTTTTTTTTTAAAATGTTTTTTTAAACTTTAAATAAATTCGATCAAAATCGTTTTTCGAAATAAATAAATAAATAAATAATAATGATGATGATAAATGTGTCGAATTATTAGTTGGGTCGTAAAAATTTTATTTAAATTATTAATAAAAAAAAAATTACTTTTGAAAGTTTTACTAAAATAATTTTAAAAGTGAAAAAAAAAAAGTTTTAGGAAAATAAAAAATTTCTTAAAAATAAATAAATAAATAAATAACTTTATAAGATTCAAATAAATAAATAAACGTCTGCTATACTAAAAAAAAAAAATCAATTAATAACAAAAAAAAATGAATTTTGAGAAAAAAACCGCCATTTTATAAAGTTTAATAAATTATTTAAAAAAAAAAAAAATGAGAAACGTAAAAAATTTTTATTTTTATTTTATTTTTATTTTTTTTCAAATTTGTAACGAACTACGAATTTTCTTTTTTTTTTCTTTTTTTTTTTTTAAAGAAAATTTTCCAAAAGTTCAATCGTTATAAAATTAAATCACAAATCACGACGTCACAAAAAAAAAAAATTTTGTCTTTTTTTTCGTTTCTTTTTATTTAAATAACGAAAAAAATGAAAGAAAAACGAGGGAGGAGAGAAAAGGGAGGGAGGAGAGAGAGAGGAGGGAAGATGGAGGCGGATAGAAAGAGAAAAAATATATATATATAATTTTTTATTTAATTTTCCGATATTTTAAAATGTAAAATACTAATAATAATAATAATAATAATAATAATAATAATAATAATAATAATAATAATAATAATAATAATAATAATATGTATATTAATATTAATAATAAATGATGAAATGAAATTAAAAGAAAAAGAAAATTCTTTTGGCTTTAAAATCTCAAAGATTTGCAAAAAAAAAAAAAAAATTTTTATTAACTTTTAATTATATATAAATTAATTATTTATTAAAATGTTAGCCTTAAGTCTTTACATGCAAAAATTATCATTATTATTATCATAACTAAAAGTAAAAAATTTTTTTTTTTTTTCTTTTAGCTTTTCATTCAAATTTTTAAATACATAAAGTAAGGAAAAAAATAAATAAATAATTTATTCATAATTATAAAAAGTTGTTACGAAACGAAATTTATTATTATTATTATCATCATCATCATCTTAATTATAATTACTTAAATTAAATTAAATGATATGAATGAAAAATATATATTTATACGATTTATTAAAATTTAATAAAAAAGGAAAAATTTCAAAGAAGTTTTCTTTTTTTCAATAAAGAAAATTTAAATATAACGGTTTTTTATTCTTTTAAAAAAAGTTTAAAATTAATGATAAGAAATAAAATGAATGATAATAAATAAATAAATAAATAAATAATTTTTAGAAAAATTTTCTTTTTATTTATATTAAAAGAAAAAAGAAAAATTGGGCGGCAAAAGTGGATTAAATTTAAATTTAGTTAAGATTAAGGGGGATTAAGTCGTTGAGATTTTTTTTTAACGGATTAAATAAATTTAATTAATTGAAATTATTTTTTTTCTACTTATTTATTTATTTATTTACTTACTTCTAAGGTTAATTTCATTTTTGTGTTACACGTAAAAACCTTTTAAAACCCAATATCATTAGCCACAAAGTTTTTCTTCTCCTTTTTTTTTTTTTTTTTTTTTTGCATAAATTTTCCAAAGGTCATAAAAATTTAAATTTTATTAACATTTTAACGGGTTTTCCTTTCCTTTTCTTTTCTTTTTTCTTTTTTTTTACTTAAAAAATGCATTTTATTTCTTTTCAATCAATTTTTCAAATTGAAATTAAATTGCAATTTCATTTTAAATTATATATATTCTCATGTAAAATTCATTTAATAATAATAATAATAACGATTAATAATTTTCGTACGTGTATATGTATATCGTATATGCAAAAACCGTCCGTTAAAAAATTCCGTTTCCGGTTCCGCTTTTTGATTTTCATACATAATTGATAAATAAATAAATAAAATTTTTTTTTTTTTTAAATTAAACATTAACGCAAAATCGATTTATTTATTATTATTATTAATATTTAAAAAGAAAACAAAAAAAAATCAATGGAAATTTAATTTTCGTTATTGTTTACTTTATGATTTTACAGTGATACCAACTTGAAAAAAAAAATTCCCTCGTAAATAAATAAAAGACGAAAAACGGTTTTTTTTAAACGAATTATTTATATAGTTTTTACTTTGTGATTTTTTTAAAAATAATTTAAACGTGTACTTAGAATGAACGAACGTGTAACTAACCACGTTTATATAATATGAAACTCTTATTATTTATCGATGATTTTAATATAATGAATTGATTGATTGATTGTCATTTTAAAAAAAAAAAAAAAAAAATTTTTTTTCAAAAGATGAAAAGTTTAATAAAAACAAACCGAAAAATTAAACAAATAAAAAGAGTGAGAGAGAGTGAGAGGGAGAGTGAGGGGGAGAGAGAGATGGGTATACATTAATACGCCATTTGGTAACAAAGTTCAATTTTAATCGCAAGAGATTTTTAAATCTCAGAGGTTTTTTATATTTATATTTCTGACCCTAATAATAACTAAATAATTTATTATTTTTATTTAACCTAAAAAAAGGTCATTATTTTAATAATTAATAACTTTTTAAATTATTAATTAACTTT